AGGGTTTAGGGTTTAAGGTTTAGGGTCTAAGGGTTTAGGATTGGGGTTCGGGCTTGGGTGCAGGGTCTATCAGTTCGGTTAGGGTTCAGGGTTTAGGGTTTAGGGTTTAAGGTTTAGGGCCCTAAGTTTAAGGGTTTAGGATTGGGGTTCGGGCTTGGCTGTGGGTGTGATCCGTTTGACAGCATAGTACCTCAGCATCGCCCGGGTGAGCACTCGTCGCTCGAAGCCCTCACCGTGGTTGCACTCGACACACACCGGCTTCAGAAGACCAATGCTGTCTTCTTGGCTAAAGCAGTGCCAGTAGCGACTGTTGTACCCTTAGCGACGAGTGCTTGCCCGGGCGATGCTGAGGACCAGCTGTCAAACCGATCACACCCACGGCCAAGCGCGAACCCGAATCCTAAACCCTATGCTAAACCCCTAAACCCTAGATCCTAAACCCCACTTTACGGCTTGCCCTAAACCCTAACCCTACCCGAAAAGTTAAAGCTTAAAAGCCCTGCTAAACATCCACCAAGCTTCTCTCCTTGTAGCTCTCGTACAACAGTTCTTCCATCGCCTTAGCGGCAGTTCTTTCGGAGTTGGAGGATTCAGAGGGTTTCAGGGCTTCGGGGTTTTAGGGTTTTAGGGTTTTACCTTATAGAATTCGTGGGATCGGCTTCTAAGGGTTTAGGGTTTCAGCCTAGCGACATGCATCTTGGGTCGTATAAAGAACCGCAATTTGCCCTGCATCAGGAATTCGTAGGCAGCTGCTCGGTACAGCTTGAGGAAGAAAATTCCTCGCAAAAGAGCGAGTATGAATTTATTATTTGTTTCGGCTAGCTTATTTTCATAGCGACCCATACATGCATATTATTATGAGTATTATTTTTAAACCAAACCCTAATGATCTTGGGCACCGTGGTTGTACTGATCAAGTGCTTGGTCTTCGGTAAGATATCTCGGGAGCTTCTCCATCTTCAGCTGCCACGAAGCCAGCTCATACCTACATAGCTTATCGGAGGATTCGGGATGAGCATGCTCTTGCAAGAGCATCGAAAAATATATGATCCGTTATTAATCAGCCGAGATGCACAGTACTCACCACAAGGTGTGACAAGTGCTGCCGGCGCTCGTAGTCCTCATCGCTTTCGCTGGGCCGCCTTGCTCTCAGAATCGTCTGGGTGCTTGCACAGGTCAAAGCTTCCTGGGATAGAGCTTGAAAACCCATGAGTTTCGAAGCCCCAGTAACGATACAGATCTGCAGCTGAGAAACTGCCAGCCAAGCTAGCACAACTCTGCAATTGTAGGCTTTGGCCCCCAGGAAGGGGTAGTCCGGAGGCTTGACATGTAGATGCAGCAGGTTTGGGGTAAACTTCCTCATAGAAGTACTGATGCTGGATCGGGAGCACCACTTCTTGAAATGGTTGTAGCAATCATGCAGCAGCCGCTTCATATCAGCGTTCGGATCTGATGAGCAAACCTGATGCTCACATAGCCAAAGCAGCCCCTCGGCTGTTAAGTTTTGCATGATGCCAAGGTTGCTAGTGTGCATAGCACACCCTCGCCTCAGGACAATCGGCACAACATGTCTTTAAATGAGGATTTTAGGGTTTAGGTCGCCGATGGCCGGGTTTAGGGTTATATTCGGGACATTTAAGAATTCAAAGGGCGGGGCTAAACCCCTAAACCCCTAAACCCTAGACCCTAAACCCCTAAATATAGAAATATAAATATAACTGCAGGGGATTGGCTTAGAGAGGCATGGGGTACATAGCAAAATTTAGGGCGGCCGGGATGAAAAAATGTTACGAAGCTTCAAGATGCACGCAGGATATGTGAAAGCCCGGCACCAATGTCAAAGGGTTCATTTCTGCAGGCATGACGTACAAGAGGGCTTCGGTGTTGGTGAAGTGTTGCCACTCCGACCCAAAACTTGTGTACAGGATTCCACCCGGCCTGCACCGATAGTTCATTAAGCTTTAATGTTAAAGGCTCTTAGGGGTATTACTTAGTATAGTTTGGGGCTTTGAGGGATTTAGGGATCATATCATGATGAACCCGGGCCGTGGCCAACACACGGAGCCTGGTCTTCCGTAGAGCTGTGCACTTGTGGCAAATCTGGATCGCCCGCCAAGATCTTGAAAACTGAAAGCACTGATCTTGATATGCCCAATCCCCCTTGAACTCTGTAGTCGCGTATGACCGACTCAAGTTTGGACATTCCTGCAGTAGACGACGCTCTTGCGAGGTCAGCTCATCCGGTGATCCATTCGGTCCGCAGCTTGGTCGCCGAGCGAAGAAAGCACATGTCAGCGACCATGCAGCACGTTGATATGCCGGACGGAGGGTCTCCTGTTTGCGGTGCGCTTATATTATAATAATCAGGAGTTTGGTTCAGGTATAGGGTCTAGGTTTCAGGTTTAGGGTTAATTATATTAGCTGTGGATTCGGCCTGGCCAGCAGATCGCAGCGAGTTCACTAGGAAGTAGGTAAAGTTCTTCGTCCAAGGCTGTCCTGCCATGCGCTATTGAGTTTGTTCGACGTAGCGGTTGTAACATGGATTTCCAATCTCGCTCTCTCTCTCGAGCATCCCTCCCTCC